TCTTTGGGTTCACAATGTATCTTTTGGGGTTCCTAAAAATATGATATATATTTATAGTAGGGCTGGGCGGTATATCGAGTTTGTACGATATATCAATATTTTCTTTATAAGCGATTCGATATGAGGCAATACCATTTATATCGATATATAGTAGTTTGATACGAGCACATCTGAAAATATAGCGGAGGACACAGACTGAGCTGCTGCGGAGAAAGTGCATAATCCAATTTGTTCTTAACATGTGACAAGCTTCATATTAAGGCCTTTAAAAACTGGTAAGACATAGTTTATAGTTTCGCATATTAGTTTAAGCGGCTCGGCCCGTCATATGCTCTGACAGAAAGGCTGTGTGTGCTGCTGACAGAAACACAGGCTACTCGCACTGTTTAATGTTGAATGCTGAATGCATAACTTACATTTCACAGGTATATTCTCCATCTGTAAATGTTAGAAAGCCATGGAAATATTTCCATTTTTCTGTCTGAAGTGCATGAGTCTTCTGCTTTGGGATTCTCCGCTAAACTTCAGATTTCAGTGAACGAGCGCCTCCGCGCCAAACAAACAGAGCTCAATTAAATAGGAGTGCAATAATTCTGACTAAAATATTCATTTCGCTGAAATATTTGAAAAATATATATATATATACCGTATATCGCAAATCGGCCAAAAAATACAGATGTGAATTTTTGCCCATATCGCCCAGCCCTATTTATACCTATACTATGATTGAATTTTATTTTTATAAAAACAAATTTTATCATCTTAGATATACATTTTCCTGAAATCGTCCTAGCAACCAATTTTTGACCCAGGGTTTGAAGCTGTGCCCTAGTTAGGTTAATGCAGAAACTTGTGACCGATGCTCTCTTATAATTGTGGCATCGCCGTTTAGTGATGTCATTGAATGTTCCGGGAAAACTTAAGTTGTATTTTCAGTGTCGTCACAGCGCCTTTTAATCGCTGTTTTGGATCCAGCAATTCTTCATTTACGAATTAAGCCCTGCTAGTACTCATTCACACTTTCACATGTGCTGCTGATATGATTTGTCAATTAATGTTAGCTGGTCATTTTGTGTCAGGATAAAAAAACAGTGAAATGTTTTTTTGTGAAAAGTTAATTTTTTTGGGCCAATGAAGCCTTTAGCAATTATTTAAAATGCATCTGATCACTCTACACAATAATCTAGAAACAATGTGAATGAATACCACAACTGCTTAAGCAGCAAATTTTGCAAAACACAAAATGTATGTCTCTGCCAAAACTTTTGGCCATGACTGTAAAGTGGGCACATTAAAGAAATTACTTTTTGGTATTGTTAGTTTTTATTGACGAGACATGCATCTTAAAGGAATAGTTCTCTTCCTCTTCCGTTTCCAAGCCTGTATGATCCTCTAACACACCCCAAGTCAGAACCCCCCAAGTCAGATTCCCAGTGAAATGCTCTCTGACAGCAAATGAAATGAGTTTGCTTCCTTTTCTGTGAAGATCAATAATATCAGAAAGGCGATTAGCACATCCTCAAGTTATACAGAGGTCAGACAGATTCAACCGCAATTTCAAAAAGAAGTTACTATGTCTGTTTTTGAAGCAATTGATAGCAAAACTTTGGAAGAAATAGTACAGCACCTTAAATTGTCAACCTGCTATCTTGACACACTTCCCACATCCCACTTTTTTCAAAAGTGTGCTTAACTGTTTAGAAGCAGATCTCTTAGAAGTGGTGAACGCCTCATTTCTTTCTGGGACTTTTCCAAACTCCCTGAAAACGGCAGTTGTTAAGCTCCTTCTGAAAAAGAGCAATCTTGATAACGACACTGTCGATCTTAACATACTTCTAGAGAGATTGGAAAACTGGGTCGGGCTTTCTGGGATGGTATTTAAATGGTTCAGGTCATACTTAGAAGGAAGAGGTTATTATGCGAGTATACTGTAGGAGAGCATAAGTCTTAAGTGGATGTCCATGACATGCGGAGTCCTACAAGGCTCAATTCAGCCCGCAGTTGGAATTAGCTTCCGGAAGAGATCAAATGTGCTAAAAAATTAGCCACATTTAAATCCAGATTCAAAACTAATCTATTTAGCTGTACATTTATTGAATGAGCACTGTGCTACGTCCGAACTGATTGCACTGTGTTTTATGTATAATAATCATTTTCTATTTTTAACGGTTTTAAATTAATTTTAAATAAATGTTTAAATCAGATTTTAGCAAATGGCTGCAATATAACAAAGAGTGAAAAATTGAAGGGGGTCTGAATACTTTCCGTACCCACTGTATACTTGCCTTGCCTAACACAGAAGAATGTTGAGCAGAATATGTTGCTTTTTGTCCATACAGGGACATCATGTAGTAAACCTGGACTGTCAGGCTTCAAATCCTATTCAACTCGTCCCATATTTCAAGTCTTCTAAAGCCATACAATACAAACTTTGTGTAATTTGTATGAATGGACTGAAGTTCTACTGGACTGAAAGATTCCTTTTAGATGCTTATGTTACCTTGGAATAATAAGTGTTTTTTTATTAACCAGTTTTTTAGTGGAACACCTTATATTTGTTTTTAAATTCTCTCTTTTATAACTTTTTCTCAGGTTTACCACCATGCACCTCAAGCCATACCCCAAACCACAAGATAAAGAGATACATCGGGAATCTGTGCACGATGGAACAAGAGGCCTCCATGCCGACCAGCAGGGAGTGCTCAGGAAAGAGTGGGGTGTTCACCAGGAGTGTGGGCTCATGGGCTCATCTGGCAACGGCACAGCCAACCGGTGTCCCCTCAGTGTCATCTCCACCAACACCCTCCGATGTAGCAGTGGGAGTAATGCACAAACTAGAGTTAGTGGGGCTCGCAAGAGCAGAGCATCCTCTGTCACAACATTTACCAGTTCTTTAGTTCTGCTCTCACCTTCGACTGGTTTGGAGAATGAAGGCTCATTTAGGATTTACCAAGGAGAAGATGCAGAGGGGTTTTTGGATATATGGGCTGTCATTAAACCTGGGAACACAAAACAGAAAATCGCCATTTTTGCAACTCAGAAGTGTGGCAGTACTTGCAGTAGTGTTATTGACAACACCTCAGAAAAAGAAGCCATTGTCCCAGAGCTGCAGACTGTCTCTGTGAAAAACAAAGGATGCTGGGATAGTGACTGGTCTGTGGCTAAGCGCAGGAGAAGGTCTGGAAACCCAGACAAGTCAAAAAGTATGGAAACATCTCCAAAAACTGAAATACTTAAAGTATCTCAACAGGAGACCCTCAATGAGAACGTCAGTCCTTGCAAAGGAGTTGCAGAGGATGCAGTCAGAACAGAGGGAGAAGATGAAAAGACGCTTTCTGTGGTGGAGATGGTGGCATACTTGGAGCAAAGAGTCAGCGACCAACAGGTGAGCTCCAAAGTCCCATTCTTACGCAGCACCAGCACCATCACTCTGTCTAAAGTTGGAACCGTCCCTCAGCCTGCAGAGCAGCAGTCCAAGGTTGCAGAAAAGCTGGAGGTCCAGGAAGAGGAAGGCGAGTCTGTTCAAGTTCTGGATATGGTGGCCAAGTTGGAGTCGCAGTGCCTGAGTAGACAAAGCCTCAGGGAAGGTGGAGGAGACCTCTCTCGAAACAACAGTATACGGAGGAAGGTGGGGCGTGTGCTTCTGGCAGGGTCAGAACCTTACTCGCTGCCGTCACAACCAGTGTCACCTTCTGTTCCTCAGGACTGTAGAGTTGAGAGTGTCCCACAGCAACTGGATAGTGATTTAGACAAACTGAGTTCCCCACCTAAGACCCTTGAGTCGATAGAGACCTCGCAGTGTGGGCTTGACACCTGCGCCCTCAAGGAGGAAGAAAGTTCTTGTATCTCAAGACAGGAAACTAGCACAGCTGTTGAGACCGTGCAGTCCTCACCAAAGGATGCAAGCTCAGAGTGCAGTGAGGAACCGATACCAGGCATGTTGTTCTTTGCCAAATCTTCTCCTCAGCCTCTGAAGGAGCAGCACCTGCCCTCCCCATCAAAGAGCAGATTGCAGAACAAAGAGTCTTCTCACATCCAGTACCTCGAGCCTTCTGTCGACACTTCAGTGTCTTTCAGAGAGGAGAGCAGGGATGGACTTGTGGGTGACCAAAATCATCCAAACTTAGAGGAGACCAAGGGAGGGGAGACTTGCTTAGTTAGTCAGGAGCCTGTGCCTATTCCATTACGCCGCCTGGTGTCTCATGAGTTCCTAGAAGCTCGCTTCAAGATCCAGCTGCTTTTGGAGCCTCAGCAGTACATGGCTTTCCTGCCGCACCACATCATTGTAAAGATCTTCTGCTTGCTGCCTACCGAGAGCCTGGCTGCCCTCAAGTGCACCTGCCATTACTTTAAATTCATCATTGAGAGTTACAACGTACGGCCGGCAGACTCTCGTTGGGTGAGTGATCCACGCTACAAAGACGATCCCTGCAAGCAGTGCAAGAAGCGGTATGACCGTGGTGATGTTTCGCTCTGCCGTTGGCATCATAAGCCCTACTGCCAGGCGCTACCATATGGCCCAGGCTACTGGATGTGCTGCCGCAGATCTCACAAAGACACACCTGGTTGCAATGTGGGACTTCATGACAACCGCTGGGTCCCTGCCTTTCATAGCATCAACATGCCAATTTACAAGAAAAGCAGGGACACTGACGAGGATCTGTAGTGTGCCAGAAAGACGACTGCAGTGTGGGTTTTATTTCTGAGGCCTGATTATATGTGAGAGTAACTAGTGTGAATGGGCTGTGTGTTTCCTGTGCCTACGTGTTGCCAGTGAGCATGTGCGCTTTTGATGTATAGTGCTTACAACCCGGTTGCTGAAACTAATAAGAGATTGCTGGGTCTTTGAACTTCTACTCTGCCAACCAATCACCAATTCTCCTGTCGAAAACCCTCCTCAGGTCCTTAATGTTGGTCTGCACTTTAACCTTTAAAGATTGAATTTTGCAGAGTTCTATCTGGGTACTGCTTGATGATTTTTACTTAGAGTAAGCATTAATGACTAACTTATATTTTCAATCCACCCACCATTCTTTTTCTGTAACACCCTGACTATTTCATGCACTGATGTTGACTTGGCCTAATATTGAACATTTTTGAGCATTGCAGTTCTGTTTATCTCCCAACGTACTTGCATACATGATTAACTCATTGGCCATTAGGGAAACTTTAAACAAGAGCACAATGAGTTATTGACCCATCTTCCCCATTTCCCCATCTTCCATTATCATCTCTTAGTACTGCTAAAAAGTCCTGGGATACTAGGTGGCGAAATGATTTCGCGACTTGATGGGATTGACTTTTTGAGATTGTTCTGAGCCCAGATGTTTACATTGTACATAGCACAGAATCCTATATATCATAACAGGGTGATGAATGATGGCACGAGTGTGGCTTGAAATGCATTTAATCTTAATATGGGGTAAAATGCCTTGTTCTTTTTATGCTAACTTTTTGTGTATATAGATATCTATATGAAATGGTCGCTCTTGTTCTGCAGTGGGACTCTTATTATAAAACCATGTGAACAGGGAGTGCATATTCTTCTCAGATTTTAAGTATTGATTTCTCCCTTGTTTGATGTGTTGTTTTTTGACAGGAAACATGTGGGAAGAGAGTTTCTCCATCTTGACAGTGACTAACTGAACACCATCTGAAAAAAGAAAAAAATTCATTGCAATATACTGTTTTCCAAAGTGTCAGATTTTTAAAAATTGTTAATGACATTGCTGTGCTCTGCCTGTTAAGGCATTTTACTTCAATAAAGTATATCTTGAAGAATTTGTAACCAATGTTCTTACACAGAATACTTGTATTAGCCAGTTAATTTGTGGCTTTCTTTTAGAGTAGTGTAGGCAGGGTTTGGTTAATTGCAACCTGATAGGTATTCCTTTTGGATGATGTCTTGGGGTTGAACATTTGAATTTATAGTTTTAAATGTACTATAAAAATCTACATCATTCATAACTGGGCTTTAATTTCCAAAATAAATGTATAAAAAGAGTAGATCATTGAAACTATATTCAAGATAACCGATCCTAGGTGAAAGGGTTTGAATTGCCCTCACGCATACTTGTCTTTTGCCTGGCATGCCTTGAAGTGTAGAAATACAATGGAATTAAGACCAAATACTACATAATTAACCTGCGTAACAAAGTTAGATTTTCAAAGTCTGTGTATACAGGAATAATGCTTCATTTCCTGTTACATTTCAGAGAGGTATTTAGTTTAATAATTGAAGAGGTTGGCTAATACAAAAAACATTTCTACAATGAAACCATGAATGAATGTTTTTTTTTTCGAGGATCTGTAGTGTGCCAGAAAGACGACTGCAGTGTGGGTTTTATTTCTGAGGCCTGATTATATGTGAGAGTAACTAGTGTGAATGGGCTGTGTGTTTCCTGTGCCTACGTGTTGCCAGTGAGCATGTGCGCTTTTGATGTATAGTGCTTACAACCCGGTTGCTGAAACTAATAAGAGATTGCTGGGTCTTTGAACTTCTACTCTGCCAACCAATCACCAATTCTCCTGTCGAAAACCCTCCTCAGGTCCTTAATGTTGGTCTGCACTTTAACCTTTAAAGATTGAATTTTGCAGAGTTCTATCTGGGTACTGCTTGATGATTTTTACTTAGAGTAAGCATTAATGACTAACTTATATTTTCAATCCACCCACCATTCTTTTTCTGTAACACCCTGACTATTTCATGCACTGATGTTGACTTGGCCTAATATTGAACATTTTTGAGCATTGCAGTTCTGTTTATCTCCCAACGTACTTGCATACATGATTAACTCATTGGCCATTAGGGAAACTTTAAACAAGAGCACAATGAGTTATTGACCCATCTTCCCCATTTCCCCATCTTCCATTATCATCTCTTAGTACTGCTAAAAAGTCCTGGGATGTTAGGTGGCGAAATGATTTCGCGACTTGATGGGATTGACTTTTTGAGATTGTTCTGAGCCCAGATGTTTACATTGTACATAGCACAGAATCCTATATATCATAACAGGGTGATGAATGATGGCACGAGTGTGGCTTGAAATGCATTTAATCTTAATATGGGGTAAAATGCCTTGTTCTTTTTATGCTAACTTTTTGTGTATATAGATATCTATATGAAATGGTCGCTCTTGTTCTGCAGTGGGACTCTTATTATAAAACCATGTGAACAGGGAGTGCATATTCTTCTCAGATTTTAAGTATTGATTTCTCCCTTGTTTGATGTGTTGTTTTTTGACAGGAAACATGTGGGAAGAGAGTTTCTCCATCTTGACAGTGACTAACTGAACACCATCTGAAAAAAGAAAAAAATTCATTGCAATATACTGTTTTCCAAAGTGTCAGATTTTTAAAAATTGTTAATGACATTGCTGTGCTCTGCCTGTTAAGGCATTTTACTTCAATAAAGTATATCTTGAAGAATTTGTAACCAATGTTCTTACACAGAATACTTGTATTAGCCAGTTAATTTGTGGCTTTCTTTTAGAGTAGTGTAGGCAGGGTTTGGTTAATTGCAACCTGATAGGTATTCCTTTTGGATGATGTCTTGGGGTTGAACATTTGAATTTATAGTTTTAAATGTACTATAAAAATCTACATCATTCATAACTGGGCTTTAATTTCCAAAATAAATGTATAAAAAGAGTAGATCATTGAAACTATATTCAAGATAACCGATCCTAGGTGAAAGGGTTTGAATTGCCCTCACGCATACTTGTCTTTTGCCTGGCATGCCTTGAAGTGTAGAAATACAATGGAATTAAGACCAAATACTACATAATTAACCTGCGTAACAAAGTTAGATTTTCAAAGTCTGTGTATACAGGAATAATGCTTCATTTCCTGTTACATTTCAGAGAGGTATTTAGTTTAATAATTGAAGAGGTTGGCTAATACAAAAAACATTTCTACAATGAAACCATGAATGAATGTTTTTTTTTTCCAACAACTAAAGAGGGTGATAAACGTAAATAAATCCTAAGAGCAAATAGACGGCCAGCCTCTCCCACTGGATAACAAAGCATTTTTCTGCCCAATGCAATCTGCAGTGGTTGAGGAAATTTAATGGAAAATAATAAAACTTTGTTCATAAAACACAATTCCTCTTGTAAATTTAAAATCTAATAAAACAAGACGCAATAATATTTGCCATTCTCTCGGACAAGTCCAGCAAAATTTATACAGTAAGGTTCTTTGAAGCGCTGGTGAGAAGGTGCAACCAGTCAATCAAACTCAAAGCGCAGTTAAGTCTGTCCAAACGATGCTTCAAATGTACAATTTCTGCACCGATAAGCAAACAAAAATATTTGGCAATGTACACGGAATAAAGTTGACTGGTGTCTACAGTATAACATGAGCTACAAAACATCAGAAATGTAAAAGTAGTTCACCACACTCTTCCATTCTGCAATAAAACCACACAAGAGTTGTTTCTGAACACATCCTTCGCTCTGGTTTCTACCACACACTTTAGTATCGTATGAGCAGTTAGATGAAAACTTCCCTTTATTTCTCCCAATAGCCAAGCTGACATAAGTGAGGATGACATTAATGGGGTGTTTGCATAGGTCTAACTGGTGGTTCTAACCACCACCAGATCTCAGCGCTGCCCGGTGTAGGCGCGGAACCAGGATGTAACGGAGGCAGCTGCAGAGGAGATCATGCCCCCTGCATTTCCAACTGGCTGGGACGCCTGCATGCCGCTCTGGGACAGATCCATAGGCTGGGAGGGGATGTCACAGAAGCGAGGGCTTGGAACCGTCTCCCAGTCTGTGCCTAAGTCTGTTTCTTCATCCGTCACTGCCTCGTCTCCACTCTCCTCCGCCGGGCCAGCCGCCTCTGGTTCCACAAACTCCATAGAGTCTTCCAAGTCAGCGCTCACCTCAAACGGCCCAGATCTATACAGTAAACAAGAGTGGAAAAGTTTTCTAAACATTAGTTTTCCATTATATGACACTGACCAAAGGTTTGGGGGTCTCTCTTATGCTCACCAAAGCTGCATTTATTTGATAAAAAATACAGTAAAAACAGTAATATTCTGAAATGTTATTACAATTTAAAACGACTTTTGTATTTGAATATATTTTAAAATGTAACTTTTGCCTGGCATGCCTTGAAGTGTAGAAATACAATGGAATTAAGACCAAATACTACATAATTAACCTGCGTAACAAAGTTAGATTTTCAAAGTCTGTGTATACAGGAATAATGCTTCATTTCCTGTTACATTTCAGAGAGGTATTTAGTTTAATAATTGAAGAGGTTGGCTAATACAAAAAACATTTCTACAATGAAACCATGAATGAATGTTTTTTTTTTCCAACAACTAAAGAGGGTGATAAACGTAAATAAATCCTAAGAGCAAATAGACGGCCAGCCTCTCCCACTGGATAACAAAGCATTTTTCTGCCCAATGCAATCTGCAGTGGTTGAGGAAATTTAATGGAAAATAATAAAACTTTGTTCATAAAACACAATTCCTCTTGTAAATTTAAAATCTAATAAAACAAGACGCAATAATATTTGCCATTCTCTCGGACAAGTCCAGCAAAATTTATACAGTAAGGTTCTTTGAAGCGCTGGTGAGAAGGTGCAACCAGTCAATCAAACTCAAAGCGCAGTTAAGTCTGTCCAAACGATGCTTCAAATGTACAATTTCTGCACCGATAAGCAAACAAAAATATTTGGCAATGTACACAGAATAAAGTTGACTGGTGTCTACAGTATAACATGAGCTACAAAACATCAGAAATGTAAAAGTAGTTCACCACACTCTTCCATTCTGCAATAAAACCACACAAGAGTTGTTTCTGAACACATCCTTCGCTCTGGTTTCTACCACACACTTTAGTATCGTATGAGCAGTTAGATGAAAACTTCCCTTTATTTCTCCCAATAGCCAAGCTGACATAAGTGAGGATGACATTAATGGGGTGTTTGCATAGGTCTAACTGGTGGTTCTAACCACCACCAGATCTCAGCGCTGCCCGGTGTAGGCGCGGAACCAGGATGTAACGGAGGCAGCTGCAGAGGAGATCATGCCCCCTGCATTTCCAACTGGCTGGGACGCCTGCATGCCGCTCTGGGACAGATCCATAGGCTGGGAGGGGATGTCACAGAAGCGAGGGCTTGGAACCGTCTCCCAGTCTGTGCCTAAGTCTGTTTCTTCATCCGTCACTGCCTCGTCTCCACTCTCCTCCGCCGGGCCAGCCGCCTCTGGTTCCACAAACTCCATAGAGTCTTCCAAGTCAGCGCTCACCTCAAACGGCCCAGATCTATACAGTAAACAAGAGTGGAAAAGTTTTCTAAACATTAGTTTTCCATTATATGACACTGACCAAAGGTTTGGGGGTCTCTCTTATGCTCACCAAAGCTGCATTTATTTGATAAAAAATACAGTAAAAACAGTAATATTCTGAAATGTTATTACAATTTAAAACGACTTTTGTATTTGAATATATTTTAAAATGTAATTTAATTTGGAATTTTCAGCATTATTACTCCAGTCTTCAGTGTCACATGATCCTTCAGAAATCATTCTAATATGCTGATTGGCTGCTCAAGAAACATTTCTAATGGTAAAAACAGCTGTGCTGCTTAATTTTTTTTTTTCAGTATTCTTTGATGAATAAAAAGTTCAAAAGAACAGAATTTAGATGAGATTATAATTCTTTACTGTCACTTTTGATCAATTTAATGTATTTTTTGAAAAAAGTATTCATTTCTTTAAAAAATATATCATACTGACCGCAATTTTATTGAACAGTAATAAAAAAAAAAAAATCAATGGCGAATAAAATAAAATTCAGCAGCAAATAATTAGGACGAGTCTTGGTTTATCTATTGGAATTTGATTGGATCATGAATAATGGACTATAACATACATCATGGATAATATAAAAGTAAATTGTTTTCACAAAGGAACAGGACAATGTAATTTCTCACCTGCCAAGTTTCTTGTTTGCTGTTGACACAAGAAACATGATATTCCTCAAAGTGTGGTGCGGATGGAGCTGCTCGCTGTCGACATGCTAAAAATCCCATCATAAACATGAGTTATGATCATAACATGACTTCTCAGATCAGAGTGGTCTCAGTTTTGAATAGAATTTACCTGTGAGAAGCAGAGGTGCAGGATGTTGGTGTTTAGTTTGTTTACGGCACGGGTGAATCGGTAGCGGGTCATATTGTCGCCACAGAACTCACTGTAGAAAAGACAAAACAGAACACAGGACACATTTATTTTTATATTATAATAAAATATTTTAAAAAGCAAACAAACTTGTTTCAGCTAGTTGTCAGGGCAACATTTATCATTCTCATTTAGTAACTTGATCTACAAAAATAAACTAAAAATAAAACTATAAAGACATTTTTTTAAAGGGGTCATCCGATGCTACATGTACTTTTACAAGTAGTTTGAACTGAAATGTGTGTTGGCAGTGTGTTCACAACCACCCTATAATGATAAAAATCCACCCAGTGATTTTTTTAATTACTAAAATCTTTACCCCTTTCTCAAATCGAGCCGATCTCAGATGCCTGTCTGTGTGACGTCACAAAGACAGGCCCCTCCCACGATAGTTTGATTGACAGTAGCTTTTCAGCACAGACTAGACTGGTGTCTTACCTCAGACCCGCCCTGAGTGACTGTCATTAGTCCGCTATTGTTTCACCGCCGGAGCAGATGTAGACAAGAATGATTCCTAAGCGATCGAGGTGTTCTGTTGTTGGATGTAATGAACATAGCAGTCGTCATTTACTCCTGACATCTGAGCCGCTGAAGACGCAGTGGATTACGTTTGTTTCTGAAGGGAATGCGCCCCCCGATCTACATAAATGC